TATATGTTTCACAGTGCAATTAGGAAAGAAAGAAGTCTTTGCCAGCGACGCTGACAGCTGTGATATTTCCTCGCCCAGCGCTGAGAATTACTTTACCCGGCTTTAGCCTTTTTGCTGGCCGAATCACTCACGCATTTAGTTAAAACTGAGCCAACGTTTGTTAAGTTTTGCAGTTTTTGAATCTTCAATGTTAAAGTACTTTGCATTTTAAATTCACATTTTATGTTTCTAAAATCCTGCTAGCTGGCGGAGATTTACGTGTAGGCGCTTGTCGTGCATTGTTATGTTTACAGTTTAAATAAAAAGTTTTATAAACAAAAAGCAGAACCAAAAAACGAATCTTACCAAAGCTTGATTTTTAAATAATCCTAAGACAGGCATGAACTAAAAAATGAGAAATTGACACTCTCTCCGCTCTTATATACATTACCCCCGTCTGTCGAAATCGCTAGTATCCGCTAGGAAATTTGTGGGAGGCATGTAAGTTCTATATAAAGGCCGGATGCGATAAAGGTTACATATAGGAATTAATCATAGTTACTTATTCAGTTACAATAATACAAGGACCGGATCAAAATGTGGTAAAATTTGGCGCCTTTTGGCGATTTCTCACAAATTTGGTAACAAACATTTGTCGCCAAAATCATGGCGATATTTCGCCAAATTAGCGAGATCGTTATTAAATAGACTTGCTCCTGTAATGTATTTTTCCGGAAGAACATCGCTTTCTTCAGACTTTTCATTCAGACATTGTACAAAAGATACTACAATTTTAAATGTGACTTAAAATTATTTATAAATGTACAAAACTTCCTAAGAATATTGTTTTTATAATCGCGTGACCTAACAAAAGAAACGAAGAACGTCACTTATCTGATTATTCTGCCATGTGATAGCGATTTAAAATACGATAACATGTTAGGATGAGTCTAAAGTGAATGGTAATACACTCTTTTCTATTTAAATCCAAATAACATTCAGATTTAAATTGGGTGCATTTTCTATTTCGTGAACTCGGGGCTGAAACTCACGCCTTCCCCTTCCTTCTTTAGAAACCATGGTAACATCAAAAGCTCAAGAGATTCACCGCCCCCATGTTTCTTATTCAGCTCGGTTGCTTTGGCGTCTATTTTTATATTTCGGGTCTAAATTGCGAAACAAGTTGCACGAAGAGATCTGAGCTATTTCACCAAACATAATTTCAAAGTAATTCGATGAATCGACTTATAAAAGCCGCTAGGAGAAGCGTGGGTAACAGACAGAGCCAAACAACGCTTATTTTTCATGACAGAATATTTTCGGTAACTGAAGAACATCTTGAAAAAATATTTAAAAGCAAAATGAATGTTTTCGCTAAACAGTTTCAATAGAGCTGAAGATTATGTATTTACTTTCTATATGGTACCAGCGGGGAGAAAAGGAATGGAAGCAATGTATTCCTTTAGAAATTTAAAAAATAAAAGTAAAATCCATTACATTTAAATGCATTTTATTCAGATTTTATAAGGGGTTTATTCGAAATCCATTATGAATAATTTAATACATCTTTTCTTGAAAATATTCGTAGAGGTATTTGATAACAATCTTATGGAGAGAAATCCAAACTTTTAATACCAAATTTAAAAAGTACCTGTCAAATAGATTATTTCGTAATGGCAACGAAAGATTCTTCCTTGGTCAAAATTGCATTTTTTATTCGATTCCTAGCTAGCGAATGAAAATGTTAATAAAACCTAGCAATGATAATTTGGTCAGTAAATCTTATTTTTATTTATTAATGTTATTTTCTATATTTTTCAACTTGTTAAAAGCTTAGAGAATGATTTGCTGTTTGGAATATTTGCAGGGATTATTACCAAATCCTTCCAACCACATTCGCTAAAACAAATTTCATAAAAATCTTCTCTCACTCCGTTTCTAAATACATTCTCTCAATTACATCCTGGCGAGAGCTGAGGAAAAGTTGTTGCTGTTGCTAATTCTCCCTTTCTAACCTATAATCAGCCCAAGCACACGAAATTCCTCGTGGCAAGGAGCGAAAGTTTACGCCTGTTGTTGGCAACAGGCCTTAAGCACCTAACAGGTGACAATGCGATTTAGCTCAGTTCGACCACTCACTTTTGATGAAGAGCACACCCGGGGGAACTGATACGAGGGTCTCCCAACACTCTTATCCTACCATCAACCTCTCGAGAGGACTTTCGGATCGCCTCATATTTCTAGTGCCCTATGCCGCACGGACACTATACATTTACAAACATCCATGCCTGCTCCGGGATTCGAATCCAGGCCCTAGGCAATGTAGTCATCGACGCTAATTACTATACCGGTTGGGCGGCTGAGGAAAAGTATATAATAGTACAATTCAAAACGTAAGAGGATGGGCTAATTAAACTAAATTCTTCCACATGCCGGAAATCAAACTATGGCTAATCTTTAGAATATGGTAACAGGTATTTTGGCGACATTTTGGTAAGGCGATAAAGGTTACTAGCTAGGACTTTAGCAATAATCTGAGAAGTACACAGTTTGAATCACAGATTATTTTGTCTCCGAGAAATGAGAAATCATGAGACATGTCATGTGACATTTTTCGGAAATTTCCGATCGTGATTTTAGCTAATAAGCACTTAGAAACAATTTCGCTGCTAAAGTGCAGAATCGCCCACTTGTTTGTTTGGCGCTTTTTACAAGAGTAAGAAGAATTGGATTTTTGTCAATTTTCTTTGACTTTTTAAGTGAAAATAGGTCGATGTGTACATGGATAAAGTCAAGAGTGTGCGCAATGCCATTTTTGTGCAATTCCGGGATGTTTTTTTTTTTTTTTTAAGTAAAAATAGATCGACGTGTACATGGATACCGTGTATGTGCAATTCTTAAAAACGCGGCAAGCAGTTTGCGATTCTGCACTTTCTCCCAATTTCGCACCTAATCTTCGTCATGATTAAGCATTTTTGTTCCACAAAAGTTCTAGTATAAGGACAATTCGGCTAGCATATTGTTGGAAAAAAATGTTGAGTAAAAAAAAAATATGCCTTTACTTCTTGAAAACAAAATGGCGTCCGAAACAAAACTAGCAGGTCGCTGTAGCAGGGTTGGTCGCCACATTTTCGCCAAAAATTCGCCAAGTTACCATAATGTAAAGATTCACCCAAACTATTCGTAAACAAAAGATTTAATAACAGAATTTCATAAACAGAAATTCCATATTCAGAATTTCCTTAACAGAAATTTCATATTCTAAAATTGAACCTGAGTCAACCTTTTCCACAGAATGTTAACTTATTCTTGTTTACAGTAAAAGGACTAAAGGATACAGGAATTTATTACATTAGAAGTTAAATCTTGACTTTTTTTTCCTTCCAGACACCTGGAAGGAAAATCGCTTCGCATATTAAAGGGCATTTTCGGTTTTTAATTGACTAATTTGAATATCCCGTTTACAGAGTTAAGCTGCCAACGTGATGTTACTTTTATCTCATTTTGTTTCACATCCGAAATCTGTTCTTAGCCCAAAATGGCAGTACGTCAGAATGGGCTGCTAGTCTCATTCACTGTAAATGCCAAATCACTTTTAAAACTGTTGCGACCAAATATTATCGCAATGTATTATTTTTAAAAACATTAAATAAATGAAGAATCTGCATAAATATATGTATGTTTCTCTCAGAGTGAAAAAACGACGGTACCTAGAGCCATTGAATTTTGAATAACTTAGTTCTCCACCCGAACACGGGCACCTGGAAGCCCGAATTTTGAATTTCGAATTTGTCTTAATAACCAATTTCATAATTTTTTTTTCAATTTTTTTACTAACAAACTTGACGATTGCAAAGCGAAGAGTGGCAACATTATACGGAATAAAATATTTTATCCCCACATTTTTCTTCCTCTTATTGTATTTTCATAGAAGGTTATGTTTCACTCTGATATTTCTGACAGTAAGTTTTGTACAGTTCCAGCAAATTTAACTTTTTTAAGACAGAATTATACTAATAAACTGTACCTATTAATCAAAAGTGACGGTAAATATTTTATAAGCCACTCGACTGGTATAGTGGTAAGTGACACTGATTGCCGTACTTATGGGCCCGAGTTCGAATCTCGGAGGAGATAAGGATATTTAAGCGTATAGTGTTTGTTCGGAAAGGGACACTCAAGTTACACGGTGATCAAAATGTCCTCTCGAGAGGTTGATGGTAAGTGAAGAGAGATGGAAGACCCGTGTACCGCCCCAAGGGTGTTCTTCTTCAAAGCTGTTTCGAAAGCTTAACAGTTAGCTAGGTTCAGCAATACCTCAGTCATCTTGTAGAATCATTAGGTTTTCTTGAAAGAGGGGACATGGAAAACGAGCAATGTCCTCACCAGGACTCGAACCTGCACCTATCGAATAAGCACCCACTGTGCTACCATTACACCATGAAGACATGCAGAAAGGAGGAAGGAAATAACTTATACACTTCCCCTTTTAAATGGCGACCGGGGATTAGGGAACCCAATCGCCAAATCCTGGCGGTGAAGAATCATCATCCACCACCTTTTTAGTGCAGAAGACACTGCAGAGTCATTATCTTATAACCTGTGGTACTATAGAGGTACTCGCCTAGCTTCTACCTGTACCTGTAAACCTTTCTTAGCTAGAACTGTTACTCCCTTGACTGTTTGTTGTTTAATATTCCTTCCATTAATATTATTAAAAATCCGGCAAGGGGTAAATTAAACTTCTTTCACAATTCTCTTAAACAAACATTATTTCTCTTACCTAACAGGATTCATTCCCATTACAATTTTCTCAAACATGCTCTGAGAAATTCCCTCAATATTTTAATTTTCTATTTCTTTTAATTTGCTGAGTTGAAGTCCTTGCAAATCTATGGTCTTTAAGGTTTTAACATTATTCAGGATCATCTAGGTTAAGATTAGAACGATAGTGCGTTACAGAAACTTGCTAAATAAAAATAAAAATAGAAGTTTGCAAATTCTTAATGAAAAGATTTTACCATTTTTGTGACTTGGGCAGTCTTCTGGCTTCACACAACGGTTCCCATCTGTTTTCAGATATCCTTCTTCGCAGTGGCATCCACGTTTGCACATGCGATCGCATTCTTCCTCGGGTGTATTGAAATTGTCACATGTCAACGGACAGTCACTTCCACAAACATCGTAATACTGATTTTCTGGACATTCTGTGGGAATTGAAATCGAAACATTTTATTCATACAATTATTCAGGTCTTTAGAATTGTATTTCAAATACTTCTGCTTAAGAAAGCGTATAAAAAAATCCGATGTGTACACAACATGACTTCCTTGTACGGAATATTAAATTATACGCGTTTATTCCTGCATTTCATTTAACCTTATTTTATCGATTCTTATTAGAGATATATTTCTCATTGAATTAATTCAGTTCTTTTTCCCAAAAAGGCAAGAATACAAAAAAAAAAAAAAAAAAAAAAAAAAACTTCGAAATATTTTAATTTGAAAATTATGAAAAAATATAATGCACCAAATACAGTTAAAATAATTTTTTTAAAAAATTACAATTCAAATTAGAATTTCTACGAAAAAGCAAGCGATTTGGCCAGCAGGCAATATGGCAAATTTTTCAGTGCTCAAACTGAAAGTTTACTCTTCCCAATCGGCAAAAACACACTGAAGTTGCAGAAACTGATTTAAATCACTACTCTGCTAAGTTTCAAATGTAAACAAATATGGCTGCTACGCTAAGAAAATTAGGCTTAGCCGCATTTAAACAACTTTTAAATTGTTCATAACTCTACAATAATTACATACAGATTAACTAAAGGCATGAAAATCTTAACCGAAGACAAGGGCAGCATAAAACAATCATTTTTAAAGCAAAAAATGCACAATAAACCAATATATAAGAATAAAAAAACTGAGATCACGGAGCCGAGTAACATAGTGGATATATATGTTTATGCTTTTAGTGCGGCCGATTGTAACCAAAAAAGAGGTGCACAATTACATGTTATAGCAGTCCTATAAACAAAATTTCAACATTCTGAGAATACTCGTTTTTTGAGTTATGCGAGAAGCGTACGTCTCTTTTTGCAACCCCTTTTGGGAATAAATAGGCTTTTATTCTGTCCTCGAGTACAGATGTCACTGAAAACATCGTTAAATTGCATTAAATAACGATTCAAATGAATATTTTCTTTGAAATATGTCAGAAGAAAATTTTCCCGTCTACAACACTTCCTTTATTTTGTACAAGGAAGTAAAAAATTGAAGAAATCGTCGAAGTTCAAAATTAAAGCATAACTATTGGTATTCTAAAGTTTCCTGTTTGAGAATTTGGCTTACCATAATTCCTTGCTGTTATTTCAAATGGTCAGGTACTTAATGCATTCATCGGAAAAGGCAATGCCCATTGGTCATTTAACTGTCTCTTTGCTAAAAAGGTTATTAAAGACTTACCACAGGGTACTTCAGGTCCTCTGTGGTATTCTGAATAGGCTAATTGGTATTGATTTATAAAAACAAGCCTTTTAAAAAAATTCGATTTTTGAATTATCAAATTATTTTAAATTAACTAATTTTTCTCTTTTTAAAAACAAATTTGACTTTCAGTCGTTTTTTGTAGGTTGTGTAAGTAATTTCGAGTCAGCTTAGGGCCGGTCATATCTTAACGAACGAATTCAAATGATGCAAAATTTTATTATTATTTAAAAATTTTGTTTCTTTAAAACATTAAATTTTATTTTATATTTATATATTATCAATTAACTAACCTTAACTATTTAAAATTATTTTTAATTAGTTTTCCTTTTTCTTCAAATATTCTAGATTTTTATCAAGAAATGTGTTCAACTGATAGTTACTATCGTGTGAATTTTGTTTCACTTTGCATTAATTTACTTTTGTTCCAGTTTCGTTTTTGAAGATTTTTGCAAATATATTATTCGGTACTTTCCTGTTAGCAGGAGGAGCCCACCAGCGGCCGAGCGGTAAAGTCGCTGAACACTGGTAGTTCGGTCCGAGGTTCGAATCCCGCGAACGGGCTGGCTGCATAGGTGTTTTCGTGGTTTCCCCCATGTGTAACGTGTATACGAGCCAGTTTCCGTTAGAAAGTCCTCCACGAAGGCATCCCTCCCTTAGGCAGATAGCCCTCGTGTGCTTTGCCGTAATTAAATAAACCAAATCAAACCATCAAGGAAGCCTAAGATTATTCAAATTAATCGACAAACTAAGAAAACTGACATCTACACACGCAGTGGGTTACCATTCGGCAGATATTTCATTTTTATTTCAAATTTAACCTGTCCGTTATTGATAACCAAAATACGCGATTTAAAAGCAGTAAACACTGTAACGCTTCTCTGTTATAACTAATTGCCCACCAGCGGCAGAGCGGTAAAGTCGCTGAACACTGGTAGTTCGGTCTGAGGTTCGAATCCCGCGGACGGGCTGGCTGCATGGGTGTTTTCGTGGTTTTCCCCATGTGTAACGTGTATACGAGCCAGTTTCCCTTAGAAAGTCCTCCACGAAGGCATCCCTCCCCTTAGGCAGATAGCCCTAGTGTGCTTTGCCATAATTAAATACATACATACATACTGTTATAACTAATTACTTGTTGTCGTTGTTGGCTGAAATGACAGTAGTTGAAGTTATTAAAGAGCATTACATATTTGTTTTCCTTTTTTTTGTAATAACTATGTTTACGTAGCTAACCGCGAAATAGACTAATTAAATGAATAAAATGGTTACTCTTCTGTCTGATATTCATAGAAACACAATAATGCATTTCGAATCTTTTCTGCTATAAGAGGAAACGCGCCAAACAGTTTTCTTTACACATGCTCCGATTTCATATTTCCATACTGTAGTTCTCTCACCCACGAAAGGCATCCATCCTCTTAGGCAGATAGCCCTCGAGGCTTTGCCATAATTAAATAACCTAACCTAACCTAACCTGTTAGCAGGATTTCAATCATATAATATATTAATTCTACATAAATTATCCCTCCTTTGATTATATGTATAAAGAAAAGCAATAAAGTAAATACATTAAATAGCATAAAAATTACATGAAAAAATTTTACAGTATTTCAGAACAATAATTTTACAAAGTTACCGTACTCATCATTATCACTGTCACTAAGTTCAGTTGTTTACATGTGCAATGCTAGAAGGTGAATCTTCGGATTATGGTAACTTGGCAATTTTATGGCGAAAATTTGGCGATCAACCCAGCTACAGCAACCTGCTACTTTTTTTTTTTTTTTTTTTTTTTTTTTTTTTTTTTTTTTTTTTTTTACTCAAACTTTTTTCCAACAAATTACACTTATGCTAGAACTTTTATGGAACAAAAGTGCTTAATCATGACGAAGATTAGGTGCGAAATTGGGAGGAAAGTGCAGAATCGCTCACTACTTCGCGCGTTAGAATTGCACATACGCGGTATCCATGTACACGTCGACCTATTTTCACTGAAAAAAACATCCCAGAGATGCACAAAAATGGCATTGCGCACACGCTTGACTTTATCCATGTGCACATCGACCTATTTTCATTTAAAAAGTCAAAGAAAATTGACAAAAATCCAATTCTTCTTACTCTTGTAAAAAGCGCCAAACAAATAAGTGGGCGATTCTGCACTTTAGCAGCGAAATTGTTTCTAAGTGCTTATTAGCTAAAATCACGAACGGAATTTTCCAGAAAATGTCACATGACATGTCTCATGATTTCTCATTTCTCTGAGACAAAATAATCTGCGATTCGAACTGTGTATTTCTCAGATTATTGCTAAAGTCCTACCTAGTAACCTTTATCGCCTTACCAAAATGTCGCCAAACTACCTGGTACCATATTCCAAAGATTAGCCCTAGAATAATACAATCATACAAGCTAATTTACATGTGCTTCATTTCTAATTTAATTTCTGATTTTTCCAACTGTGAGGGCTCTAGGCGGCCCCATGCGCGAACTCACGTATTCTTTACATTAAAATAACAGAAATAACATTTAATATTTTGTATTAAAAATACTATTTAAAAAATAGCAAAAATGAATATTCATTTGAATATTGAACTTACTGGGATAAGCAAAAGCCGCAGCACTTAAGCATAGTAAAATAAAGGTTTTCATAATACGTTTTGTATGCGTCCTTTACTAGGGAGGTCTCGTGGGTTTTATGTGGCTTCATTTTTAAAAAGATACTTACATATTCTGCATCTCTAAACAAATAACGTCAGCTGCTGCGAAATAAAGAAAATAAAATTACTTAATGCATATTTGATTAACAAATAAAAGGTAATAGTACCATATTCGGTAAATATGAAAGACTGACAGCTCTCTATTACGTCTAGAACAGATGCTCAAGTGTTTTTCATTTTCTTGTATTTTTAAAGATATGGAGAAAAATTACAACAATCCTCATGAAATTTTTAATTTTGAGCTCAAAAGGGACGTTAATCCATAATGGGATATTAGCTTCGAAACAGCGTTTTGCCCAGAAAACACGGTGTATTACTTTTTAGATTGTTGCCACCAAATTTCGCTCTGTATTATATTAAAAGAAATTAAAGAATGAAAAATCAGTACGAATGAAAAACGATACCCAGAAAGCCGACGAATTTTGAATATCGAATGTATTTAATTATTTATTTCATATTTTCTTTAAATTTAACGAATTTTTAATGAACAACTCAACGGTTTCAAAGCGAACAGTAGCAACACTGTGCGGAATAAACCGTTTTAATCTTAAGTGGACTCATACACCTTAACCCGTAACAGGGGAGGTGAAAAAGTTGAACATAACAGGGGACGTGCGGTCTCGGAGACCGCGCATTATAATAATTTTTAAAAATCGTCTAATTAAAATATCATCATGATATTCACTTAGATGTTCTTTGAAAATTTACTTACTCTGAAAAAAAATATGTTTTTACACTTTAAAGTGAAATTAAAGTTTTCCCAGAAAATTTCCCCCCATAGTCTCAAATTTTTTCGATGAAAAATCATATGCTGCACTAAATTCTATAAAACTAAAAAATAAGAATGCATCTATTTTTTGAATTAACTATTTTATCTATATTAGTTAATATTCAAAGCAAATTTTAACCGCAGAAAATGTATGTAGCACAATACAGAAAAAATTTGACAGTACCTAAAATATCAGTATCTCACTGATTTTCTGATAGTAAACAATTTGAGTTTTCGTCTTCTTTAACATATTCATTGCATAATTTTTGCTTGCATTCCAAACTAACAGGGTCTTGGAAAGATAAACATAAATATGCTGGCTTTCTTTTCTTGCTTGGGGGGCACAGACGACATGTTTTCCTTGATTTTAATTTTGCTTCTTTTGTGCACTGCTTCACATCCTTAGACTCAGCTTCTTTTGTGCACTGCTTCACATCCTTAGACTCAGCTTCTTTTCCTAAAATCCGCTTTATCGTCAGGACTGCAATTCTCGATTTATTCTTGGATTTTTCCCTCTCGTGTGTAGTAGTGGTTGGACTAATTCTCTCGCTAATTCTTTCGAAAACACCATTCTGGTCATAACGGGATTTTGGTTATAACCTTGGTGCAAAATGTATGCGTTTACTGTACTCATATCTACTAACCGGTAGAAAAGAGCCATAGGCCAACGCGTTGTTCTCCTACTACAGGAATGGACAGAACATTTTTCATCTAAAGCATCAACACCACCTTTGGTTCTGTTGTAAAAAAAAATTATTTCAGGTTTCTGTGTTTCCGAGCTGTTTCCTATCGATCATGATGCAATGATGACATCAAAACCACTGTTTCGCCTTTTTTTCGCAGAAATTTTCTTCACAGTCAGCTTCTTCACTAAAATCACATCCCACTTCGTCTAGAATTTTTTTTTCAGTTCTTCTGCATAACGTGGATCAGAAGGATAAATGAATCTCCGCGGACCTAACTTCAGAGCCATGTGTTCACTACTGCCGAAAATTGTAACACTGAGAGGGAGGTGAGGTCTCACAGACCGCTCTAGAAGAATTTCAACAGATACTCTTGCCAAAGCATTCCGATAAGAAGGGATCAGAAAGAAGGTCACGAAACGTGAAGCTAGGGGAAGAATCCATTCACTTGGACAAAGCATGCAATAGGGGTGATGGGAGGAACATGTGGCGAGGTCCGTCAGACCGCAAGTCCCCTTTTACGGGTTAAAACCCATAAGAACTTCGAATATGTGCAAGAATTAAGATATTTTATTTTATTTTAAAAGCAATTACTTCTAACCTTTTACAGCTGACTACATAATATAACTGCTTTCTAAAATAGTAATCAGAAAGTTTGTGTTGTCACAAATATTTTTGTAATTTAAACCGTTTTGTGACAAAATTTTTCATCATGTTTCTACCTTGCGCGCACAGTTTAAACATTCTGTTGCATAATTAATTTCATATTTAATATATAGCTTTTGTAACATTTGGAAACTACTGTGAAGCAAAAATTCTAAAAATTTCGATTTAAATTTTTATTTTATTTGGAGTGAGTTTCTAAAATGTATTTTATTAAAAAAAAATCTGTAACGTTTTCTTGCATAAATTTTTTTAATATTAAAATATTCATCAGATTTTTGGTTCAGTTAGAAAATAGTGCACATAAAAAGAATTTCATCAAATTTCAAGAATATAAATTTCCACAGAAAATTCAGAAAAATTTTTTCCATAATAATAAAAACCATAATAATAACCCACTCTCTTTCTCTTATTAGCCCAAAGAGGTGTAGGGTTTTCCTTATTTTGCATAACAATTTTTTTTCAATTTTGATACCTATACTGAACTTCTCAACTTCCCCTCACATTTTCTCGCCAGAATGTAAATTTAAAATTAAGGGAAGTGCGTATATAAACGGGTAAATCTCTGAGTTTATTCAGAGCGTGTTTTCGCTAGCCAGCGTACGTTTCTTTGTTGCTTCACTGTTACGCTAATATCTTGGCCATTTAGGATTTATCATCAGGTTTGTTAGGTTTTTTGAGTCAACTTGTTAGGCGCAATTTACGTGCTATTCAGCAGTACTTTGATTGATTTTGACTTGAATTAAATTCTATGTTTTTAATTTAACGGCAAGTTTGACGGTGCCATTGTAAAGCACGAAGATCGTGCCTTTCTGTTAAATATTTTGAATTTAATAAATGTTTACTTTCACCTTTTTTCTGTGCTGATATTTATTCACGCCTGAGGCGAGAATTCTCCAGGTTCATTGTAGGATCTACTTTAATGCATGTGGAAAAACATAGAACGACCCTATAGGGGCAATTTTACCAGAAGGGCTGTTCATTTCGTTTTGGCATTTTGCGTCATCCACTATAAAACGACGTTTCACTTTTCAAATTGTTACTTTCAAATATTATCGCCCTGTGTTATATTTAAAGAAATTAAATTGATTGTGAAACACAACGGTGCCTAAAAATACCAATTTTTGAAGAATGTAGTCCTCCACTCGAAAATGGACATCTGAAAGCCCAAACGTTGAATTCCTTTTTCATATTTTGTAAAACTTTAACAAATTTTTTATTAACAAACTCAACGATTTCAAAGCGAGCAATGGCAACACTGGGCCCAAAAAAAAAAAACATATTTATCTTAAGAGCGCGAGACTGTGTATCGGAAATTCTAAAAATGTGCTCTTTTTAAATATCTTGTGTTATTGCTGTTGACTGAATTTTATGGGTTAAGTGCAAAGAACACGATATTTAATAAATAAAGGTAGCGCACAAAACGTTAAAAACGCCCCTTTAAACGTAATGTAAAATCTGAAAGCTTTTAGATTTTTTACTCTTTCTTTTAAACTTTTCTTCGACACATAAATAAATACATACGTATGTTTGTACGTAAATAATTATAAACGTCTTTTGTTTCATACTAAAGCAAACACTTAATGGCGTCTCAGTTCTTATAAAGTTTGTAGCCTCAAAGAAACAGTACTAGAAATTATCTTCATTGCAGATTTTAAATGCTCAGCCGATTATTCGAGGTATTTTCTTATTATTTTTCAACTGTGAATAAAGCTGTACACATACAAATTCTCGAAGAAAGTTAATGACCTTAGTGAAAAAAATTCGAGATTTATTTTTTGGCAATTACTAATGAAAGTTAGTCAAATTTGTATTTTCAAAATTTTTAATAAAATTCATATCGCCTTTAAATTAATTATAAAAATTATCGATGTAAAGTAAATACAAATTAATCAATTATCGATTTATTATCAAGGCGTATTATTCATGTTTGTTTTTAATATTGTCAACTCGGATCTCTAATAAATAAATTCTTGAAATCTTTAACACAATATTTGTATGAAATGCATGATTGAAATGGAATCGTAGACTCATACAATTCCGTTTGGGTAACCAGTTTGAGGCCACTGCAGTATATGTTTTAATGCTTTTAGTTATTTTTTTATTTTTTTAGATGGTGGCACTAAAACTGGTTGCTGTTTTAATAATTTCATTTATACGCCGTTTTATCGAACTTTCGAATACAAAAGCTATTGGTATTTTTATTTTATGATGCTACAGAAATTTAAATTGAATAGAATGAAAAATTTAATAGATTATTAAATTATTAACGGAACCATTTTCATTTATGTGTTTTAAAATTATCTGTAGTTATTTTTGTATTTCATAATGTATATAGCTGAACAGTTTCTAAAAAAACCGTTAAGGGCAACTCCTGCTTCTCGTTTTGTAAAATTGGAAGGAATTTATGTTTAGTGGAAATAAAAATATAATGGGTTATTAAATTAATTAATGGAATCAGTTTTATTTATGTACACTAAGTTATTTGTATTTATTTTAATATTTAAAAACAGCGTTTTAGTGGCGCCACCTGAGAAATAAGTAATTAACTAAAAACAGTATATCGCATACTACATGATTACCCATGTTTATTTAAGGAATGTAATCCATCAGCAGAGGCAAGTCTCCCTAATTTCAAGAATTGCCGTTTCACGTACAAAAGTTGGATAAAAAGTAATTGTATCATGTTGAAATTCTGAAAAGTATTTATTACCAGAATTATTGTTATAGTCTTCCATAAACCATAAACAATCCTTCAGTGGCCTCGTGGTTAGAGTCACTGTATACTGATGTTTCGACCTGGATTCGATCCCAGGCGAACGGCTTGGTTGCATGGTTGGTTTCTGTTGTTTTTCCCACGTATAACCTCAATAC